ATCGTTGACATTACGGTTCAGTCTTGGTGTATACATTCTCTAGGTTTGGACAAGTGTGTACTGACACCTGTGCACCATTGTAGTAGCAAACAGTAGATTCTCTGACCTGAAATCCTCTCTGCTCTTTCAGTCCATTTCTCCCTCCCTTTAATCCCTGGCAGCCACCATTTCTCCAACAAGCCACTCCTCATTCCTAAATTCTCACCTCAGTCCCATCACCTAATATCTTTGTGATTTAGGCAAGTTATTAATTCACCTGAGCCCTGAACTTCCTCAATGCACGATCAAAATTGGTGGATTTGCTGTGATAATGAGACAGTGTATTAAACCTTACTTAGTCCCTAACAGAGAATGGGCATCAGTGAAACGCTGGTTTCTTCTCCTTCCTCCTTGTCTTAGTAACGTGAAGTCACACTCAGCTTAGAGAGGAAAGTGCAGGGGGCCGTGTGCATCACCAGAAATCGGAGGGGAGGGGCAGAGGAAGGAGGAGAATGCTGAGCTATCGCCTCCCAAACCCTCTTTCCAGCTTGGAAAGTCCCTCCCTTGCTGACACCAATGAAGTGTCCTGAGGGATTCGGGGCTCCCCAGATTTGGGGCTTGTAGCGGTCGCTGTCCCGTGTGCACACACATCTCACGCACATGAGCCTCGGGTGCCCACCCACCCCACATAGGACCGTGCCAGGAGGACTAGGTATGTCCCGCTTATCAGCTGACTCCTGGCTTCCTCTGCCCAACTTCGTGCAGACCTGTTGCCCTGGGAGCTGGCCTTCCGTGTGGCCTCCCGGAGACCACTGAGATAATGAGGGGAAATGCGGTCATGAGCGTGGGAAGGCTGGGGGTTCCGGGCTGCAGCTGCAGGTCCTCCCCCCACCCCCGCCGCCCTGACCGGCGCCCTGCCCTCTCTGCAGGCAGTCCTCAATGCTCCCCGTGAGCCTGCGGATGCCACTCGCGATGGCCCCTTTTGGTGGCTGGGGAGCGCTCGCAGCCTTTCTCTCCCTGCTCTGCTGCCGAGGTGAGCCTGGGGGTCCAGACTGGGTGCGTGCCAGCCAGAGGTTGGGGCGCCTGTTCCCCTGATGTCCTGTGGAGAAGGGGGTCCTTGTCCCGAAGTCGCTGAGGCTTTGAGCACAGCGGCTGCCCACCATGGGTGCAGGATGCTATGCAAGCCTGGTTTCCCCATGACCCCATGACCCCGGGGCAGCAGATGGGGGACCTGACCTTCACACTTTGGGTTGAACAGGCCCCATAACTTCAGGGTAGTGGATGTGGCAAGTCGTGGAGACTGATGGGGAGATGAAGGGAGGCTGGGGCTCAAGGGACAGTGAGGGCTCGTCCCAGCTGGTCTTCAGAGGTGGCCCAGTGGACAGCAGACACCAGTGGCTGGCATCGTCTTCTGCTGACCATCAAAGCAAAACGAAGCCCCTTCTGGGGAGTCCAAGGGACGGTCCAGGAGAATGCCTCCAGGTGTGAGCACTCTGTTTTGGAAAACCTGTCAGGTGCCTTCATGACAACCATTCAGGAAAGGGATTACTAGCCCATTTGACAGATGGAGAAACTGAGGCTCAGAAAAGGAAAGCACTTTGCCCAAGGCCACAGAGCTGGCAAACTCAGGATTCAGAGGCAGCTCTCTCTCTCCTGACAGAACCTTTCTCTTTCCCCAGCTGAGGGCTAGGTGGGGGTGGGTGGGTGTTGCTGGCGGGAACACAGGACACATACAGGCCCAGCCGGCCAATTTCAGTTCAGATTCCTCACCTTCCTCACTGGGCTCCAGCCATCCTGGTGTCTTCTCCGCCAGGGTCTTGGCGCTAGTGGTTTTCTGCCCTCTGCAGAAACCTGGCAGCCAAGCCCCCTGCCCCCATCTCCTTCCTCCTTTCCTCAAATGTCAGTGTTTCCATGAAACCTGTCCAGAGCACAGTATTACGTGGCAGCCCCGCCCCACTCCCTATTTCCTTTCCCAGGCACTTCGTGCCAACTGACAGGCTGGCTAGTTCCCTAGTTTGTTACTCTGCGTCCCTCGCGGCAGTGTGAGCTCCACAAGGGCCAACTTTGAGCTTCTTCTGTCTCTGATGCTCTCCAGAGCCCAGAACAGTGCCTGCCTTGCAGCCGGTGTTCTACAAGGATTTGCAGAAGAGAGGGAAGGAGTGAGGGAGGAGCCGAACTCATGGACATGCGGCCTGAGAGGACACGATCCACCTCCACTTCAGGGAGGTCTTCATAGAGGAGGGGTCATTTGGGCTGGGGGGCAAGTTCGAATACAACCTTCTTGGGGATAGGAGAGGTGCATGAGGAAGACTCACCTGGAGGGGACCAGCTGGGCGAGCATCAGGGGCAGGGAGACAACTAGGGCGCACCCCCCTTGGTCTAGACCAGAGGCAGTAATGTCTGAACAAGGAGAGAGGAGCAGAGGGCACCCCTTGATCAGACTGCCCATCGTGGGCAGCCCCATCGGGCAGGGCAGCAGGGGTGTCTGCTGCCCAATGTGTTCTGTCCTTCCAGGGTCTGGTGAGAAGGCGTTCGAGGGGCCAGAGCAACTGATGGTGGGGTCTGGAGAGTTTCAGTTCATTAACTGTACTGCCAGTTGTACGGACCCCAAGAGACTTGTTCTGGAGACAGCCCTAAACAAGACTCTCCTGGAGAGCCAGACTCAGTGGAAGCTGTTCAAGGTCTACAACATCTCCAAGGATGAGGAGCTCCTGTGTAGCTCCACCTGCGGCGGCAAGCAGGAGACGAAAGTTTTCCACATCGCCGTGTTCTGTGAGTGTCGCCCACGGGGCCCTGCTGCCCGAGACCGGAGCCTGTGTCTGCAAACCCGCCCAGAGCTGCTCTGTCACTGCTCCTGGATGCTCCCCTGTGGCCCTCACCTCCCTGGGCTCCTGGACCCAGGCCACAGGCTCAGAATCTGCTCACACCCTTACCTGGCCCCCTTGAACCCTGCCAGCAACCAGGATTTTCAGATTTGCTCAGAAAGGAACAATCCAAGCAATCTTTAAACAAATCTAAAAGTTGTTTCCCACAGTCTCCTCCCAGCTGGGGAGCACCCCCATCACCAGAACACCCCGCATCCAGTGAGAAGCAGCAGGGACCCCATCAGGAGGGCTGGCACACTCTCCACTAACCCATTCACCTCCTGGAGAGAAGGTCCTTATCTCCCTCTGAGGGCCCTTTGCAAATGTGTGACCATCACACACACACACACACACACACACACCTGCCCACGGGCCACAGAGACCATGGATAGACCGGGGTTCTCTAGGAAGCTCGGCACCCAGGGTATCGCTCAGAACTGTCATCAGTGGATCAAATGAGTAGAAACATGTGCTAAATCTACCAAATTATCCTGGGGTAATGGGGGCTAGGTATTCTAGTTCAAAAATTATCCCAGAGAGATTTCTTGGTGGTCCAGTGGCTGACTCAGCACTCCCAATGCAGGGGACCCAGGTTTGATCCCTGGTCAGGGAACTAGATCCCACGTACCACAACTAAGACCTGGAACAACCGCAGAAATAAATCTTCAAAAAAAAAACAAACAAACAGGAACTCATGGAGTTTAATAGCTAAGGGATAGAGATAGTTTTAAATCTGATCCTGAAATCCAAGGCAGGTCTGACTCTTGCCCTCGCCTCTGATAATCTCACAATTCACGGCCCCATTCCAGTGAGTACTCCCTTCTAAGTCTCTCTCAACAAAGCTATCCAGCTGTTTAATTTTTGAAGTTTCTATTGAATTTATGGAGAGGAAAGAGACACAGCCCAAAATTTTATCTTTCTAGTTGATTGAACAGATTCTGAACCTTTTCTTTTTAGACACCAGGGCACCTCCTTTCTTGTCCATTGCAGAAGTCATCATGTCCCTAAAACTACCACCCAGTACATCCTTCGCCCTGAACTGCTTCCTCCTTCCTCAGCTCAGCCCAGCGTAAATCCTGAGAACACAGTGGTCACAGGGGATGGTCTGGGCTGGGTGGGGCCTGCGAAGATGCACACCCATCCTGACCAGACCTCCCTTCCGCTTTCCTGCAGACCCTCCAAAGCAAGTGCTGCTGACGCTGTCGCCCACCTCAGTGGCCGTAGGGACACTGTTCACCATCGAGTGCAGGGTCCCTGCTGTGGCCCCCCTCGACGGTCTCACTGTCACCCTGCTCCGTGGTACTGAGATCCTGTACAATCAGACCATTGTGGGGACAGCACTTTCCCCTCAAGATGCCGTGGTCACCCACAACACCACAGCTCACAGGGAAGACGGCCTCTATAACTTCTCATGCAAGGCCCAGATGGACCTGCGCTCTCGCGGCGGTGGCCTCGTCCACAGGGTCTCAGATCCCCAGAGACTTGAAGTCAAAGGTGAGGGGGAGCCCACAGATCAGGAGGGGGGTGCATTCACTTTCAGCCCCTCTGGGGAAGAGAACGCCTTTGCCCCACTCTCTGCCAGCTCAGGGGAGGCACTCGGGGAAACGACGCTTGATCCCTGGGGTTCCCTGGAGCTCCCAGCGAGTTCGTAGCTCGGACCCCGACTAGTTGCTTGGTCATGAGCGAGTTGGGTGACCTTAACCACGTCAAGCTCCTCTCTGGCCTTGACCGCTCTCTGCAATGATAAATTTGACCTGACTGATCCCTAAGGTCCCCTGGAGCCCTGCTCTTCTGTGACCCTAGATGGCCAAGATCCTCTTTGTCTTCAGAGAGTTTGGCCGAAGCTCCCTCATCTCTGCCCAGGGAGGGGCTTGGCCTGGGCCACGCCACGGTCCAGACCATGAGGTTTCGCAGCGCATGGCATGGGGACCATCTGAGTCCATCTGCCCTCATGGTCTCACAGAGGCCGGCTGGTGGCCTGGACCTGGGTCCTCCTTCCCTCTAGTGATAACACCTTTTGCCACTCATCTCTGCAATGCAGAGTGACAGCAGGATGACCAGGTGTGCATGGGTGCGTGACAGGTAGACAGCTGCCCCTCTTGAGCCTGGCACCTGGGACCAGAGGACTCCTGTGACCTCTACCCGTTCTCTCCCCAGAGCCTGTGCCCAACAACCAGACGGTGATCATCGCAATCGTGATAGTGCTGCTGCTCCTGTTTGTGACATTTGTCCTCCTGTGCTTTGTCTTCGGCCAGAAGTGGTTCCGGGGGCGGACAGGTCATTACGGTGTGTATGCCACTTGGAGGAGGCTGATAGGGAGCCACCGGGCACCGCCTCTATGAGTGGCGTGGCCACTGGCACGGCGGCCACTGGAACTCACTGTGGCTCCTTAGGGTGCGGTCCAGGCCTGGCTGGGGGACCAAGGCAAACAGCCTGAATACAAACACCTGGACTTAACCCTGTGCCTTCGTGTCTCCTGCTGGGAATGGCCAGGAAGGGGAGCCACCAGGCCTGGCTGAACTTCTGTCTCCAAACGTCTCCTCTGCCCCCTCCGCCCTCTCCTTCGGAGGCCTTCCGGAGCCCCAGCAAACCCAGGCCCTGGCGTGCCCCCAGGCCGACCGGCCCGGGCGCCAGGCACCCAGCCTCATGGGACCCTGAGAGGCCGCTTCCTCCTGATGGAGGGCGGGGAGACCCGCCTGGCCCAGAGGGGCAGAGAGACACTCTGTTCCCATGTGGCCCTCCAGGACATGGCTCTGGCTTCTCTCTTCTGCCAACAGAGCCAGCATCCAGGGGTGAGTGTGGGGGCCCAATGGCTTGGCTCCGGGAACCTCCCCGCCAGGCCTCCCCCACCACTCTGGGCCTTCGGAGAGCCATGGAAACAAAAGCAGTCCTCGCCTCTTACCTCCAGTTCTGTTATTGGGCTAAAAGGAGACGCCGCAGTCCTAGTCATCCAGAGAGAGGGTAAGGGGAGGAGGTCGAGGGAGGGCTCTGTCTCCCAGGCCTCTGCTAGTAGGGGCAGCGATCAATGGGACAAGGTTAGCCTTTCATGTGGCTTCTGGGGCCTGGACAGAGCTCTAAGGGGCTCTCACCCGGATCAGAGATCAGGTTGGTTCAAGGTCTCCATGTGGTGGAGACAGGACTCATCTAGCCCAGGGAGATGGAACTCATCCACCCCGGGGAGATGGCCTGGTTGGGGATGGGAAGGTAAGAAGGGTTGCCAGGTGGAGAAAGGGGTTGTTAGGCACGAGAGGGACATGGAGGCTCCAGGGTGGCTGTTTCCAACTCTTCAATGAGGCTGGCCTGGGCCCCAGGGCTGCTGTCTGTCCTCATTATAGGCTCTCCGCATCATAGTAGTCTGGGGGGAGAAGCATCCTCACCATGACTGCCCCCTGCCTCAGTGGACCCCAAGGAAGAGTTAAGGGGACAGACCCACTGTCTGTAGTGATGACAATAGGACACGCCCCCCACCTCAGGGCATGTGGCCCTCCCAGCCTTCGGATCTACCCCTTGACTTGGGCCCTGCTGACCACCCACCTGGTCCCTACCTGAAGCTGGAGGTACATCTGCACCCACAGTTCCCGTGGCACTGGGGGGTGGGGGTGGGGGCACCGCTCTCCTGAGATGGGAAAGGGAAAAGAAACCCCCCATCAGAGTTCTCAGAGTGGCCTCTGCAATTTGACCCCCAAGTCTTCCCACTCCACCCACAGACCCTGTCCAGCTCTTCCAGCCCCAGAACAAAGCCTTGGCAGCACCCAGACCTCCAGCCTCACTTACACCCTCCTTTTTCCAGGCGCAGGAGGGTGGTGCTGAATCACAGCTGAATCCTGCACGTGGGGCTGGTGTAGGGGAGGGGAAAGAAGAGGGCCTGGCCAGGGAAGCAGGGGGCCCAGGGTAGGCATCGGGCAGGGAAGATAGTGGTGGTGGAAAACCAGAGGTGCCTCCTCCTGAGCTGCAGTCTCCTCCGCCTGTTGAACCTCCAGGGAGACCTGGGGATTGTGCAAGATGGGAGGGGAGAGGATACAGCGTCAGATTCTCCCTGCCCCTGGTCCTCCATTCCTCTGAATTATTTCTTCAGATACACAGCTCAAAATGGCTCCTGTCTTTTGGGGATTTAGAACAAGCAAGCAAAGCACTTTGGAGACATTTACTCCTTATTCTGCAGGTGGGAAAACTGAGGCTCACAGGTTAAGCAGCTTTTTTAAGGTTACCCAGCTCCTAAGTGGCCAAGCAGGGACTGGAGGGATCCAAATATGACTCCAGAGCTGGGCCCAGGAGTCCTGCTGGCCTCACCCTGTTACCGATTCAGGGTCATTGGACCCTTTAATGGAGAAGGGATAGAATACCCACTCCAGTATTCTTGGGCTTCCCTTGTGGCTCAGCTGGTAAAGAACCCGCCTGCAATGTGGGAGACTTGGGTTTGATCCCTGGGTTGGGAAGATCCCCTGGAGAAGGGAATGGCTACCCACTCCAGTATTCTGGCCTGGAGAATTCCATGGAGTATACAGTCCATGGGGTCACAAAGAGTCCGATACGGCTCTTTAATCAATAGATTTTAATAAGAAACCAACCAAGGAATTCAGGCTGAGAATTCACTGGGACTCAAGCTGCACCAGGGAGTGAGAATGCGAGTCACTGGGTGCCCAAGCTCCCTCCCCAAGAAGAGTGGGTTGGTTCCTTAAATGGGGAGAGAGTGAGGGCTGATGGACGGGTTGGGCTGGAGGGGTGGCTTAGGTGGCCAGCCCACTCTCTTGGCTGTGCGGGGATCATGCGCAGTACCCTTCTTTTGCTCCCTGAAGCTCAGAAACGGCAGTTGATTTGTGACCTTTTTGTAGCTTATTGTTCATAAGTGCCCCAGCTGCGCATGCATGCAGTTATTTTTAGTTCCTTTGTTTTCCACTGATGGTTAGTCCAGGTGCAAACACTTCTGTAAAGAGTTCCGGGTCCCAGGCCATCTCAAGCCCCAGTCCCTGATCCACTTACGCCCCTGTTGAGGTGGGGTGCTCATCCCCAGGGCCATCCCCACCTCCAGGGCCGGCGGGGGAGGGATGAAGGGGTGGGACGGCAGCAGCCCCTCAGGTTCTCCCTCTGCCTCCGACCAGCCCCTCCTGACCCCCTCTCTGCTCCCTTCAAGCTGACTGGCATCCTCTCTCCACCCGTTGTCACTCCTCCAGACCTCTCAGGGTGCCTATCATCCGCTAAATAAGGTCCTCCTTGGAGCTCCTCCCATGTACCCCCACCCAACACACACACACACACACACGTGCACGCACATGCACACAAGGTTTCCTCCATTCCGTCTCTGACTTTGTCGCTGTTCACCTAGATGGTGGACTGTACACCTCTCACCTCCTTCAAGCATCAGAATCCTACCTGGCTTTTTTTTTTTTTTCTTATCTTTTTTTTTTGGCCACACAAAAAGGCTTCTGGGATCTTAGTTCCCTGACCAGGGATTGAACCCTGGGCTCTCCAGCAGTGGAAGCTCATAGTCCTAACATTGGACCACCAGGGAATTCCTCTACCTGACTTTTAAGGGCTGGTTCTAAGGCCATGTGCTCTTCCGAGGAGCTCAAACCAGGTGGCCCTCACAATTTGTACCAGTCACAGCCAAAGTTGCCTTGTATTCATAGTCATCCATTTACTCAGTCACTTGTTCAACAAAAGCAATTGAGTCCCTAGTAATTTATCAGGTACCCTATAGTCCCAGGGTACAGTGGAGCCTCTCTGTCCCTGGGAGTCCAGCGGGGGATGCACTGCAGGGGATCTTTGAACACAAGACCTGAATGGTCTGGATTTTGGGACCCCCCCCTACCTCTACTCCATGGAGGATGACATAGCCATCTGGCACATAATAGATGCCAAACAGAGAAGCCACATAGATGTGGGTTGTCTTTTGGCTCCTCTGTTGCCTGGTTTTCTTTTTTTTTTCTCAAGATAGAGGGAACCCCAAATGTTTGCCCACCTCTGTCGCTGCAGGTGGGCAGCTCTGGTAGTCCACCCCCACCCCCAGGCAACGCACCTGTGGGTAAGTCCAGGAAAGCCCCTGGTTGAGCGCTGCTGCCACCTGGCCACTCAGAAACAGCTGGTTCATCTGAACGTTCTGTAGCATCATCAGCTCCAGCAGGTCTAGGGGACCGGAGTTCAGCAGGCCCCTGCCAGCCCTTCCCCTGCCCTTGCTGGTGATGCCAGGTTCATTTCCCCAGCGTCCTGCCCCGGGAGTGGATCGGTGGGTGGGGCGGTGGGGTGGGGTGCCCAGAGAATGTGCTGGGCAGAGCAGGGTACAACATGGGGAACTCCCGGAGTCTCACCTTCCTTCACGCGGCCTGGCTGCGGGGATGGAGGTGGGATGGTCCACGGGAGGGGCTGCAGAATGGTCACCCAGGGCTGGGGGAGGGAGGCTCAGTCAGGCAGGCGGGAAAGAGATGGGGAGCCCCTAAACCTGCAGGAGCTTCTCCCCTCTGCGCCCCGACGGCCTCCCAGTTCTCCATCAAGCCTCTTCCTCTCCGGCTGGGGTCTCTCTCCTCACCACCCCCTCCAGGGTTTCGAACCTCCAGGAACATTTCCCCAACTCGGCCCCCCACCCTCGCCTGCCCACAACGTCTTCCAGACAAAGGCAGGCTCCGCTCCCTGACTCAGCCTTCACCATCGGGGCTGCAGTCTGTGCTGGGGGATGGCTCCAGCTCCCTCCAGTCCCTGAGGCCATGGCCAGCTGCTGGGATCAGCGTTACCTTGACGACACTGGAGGACGCCAAAGTCTCCTCCCACGCATGCGCAGGTCCCGCCTGCGCTCTGGTGTCCGGACTTTCGCCCTAAGTCCCCGCCTCCTGCTCTGCTCTCTCCAACTCTAAGGAGGAGGGGTTCCCAGGGATCCTTAACCCGCAGCTCCGGAGGCCCGACTCTCTCCCAGATGTCCACATCCAAACCCCTGCGCTGGGGCTCTCTGGACATCACGTCTCATCCTACGCTGTATCTCACATTCTTGGGCATCCCTAGCACCAGGCCTGGGGAGCGGGGTGGGAAGGGTGGGGGTGAGGGGTGGAGGAGGGGGTCGGGCAATGTTTGTTGAATGAATAAATGAGTGACTGGGGAGGCCCACCCCACCTCGGACACTTGGTTTTCTGACTGGAGCCCAATTGACTAGGATGACGAGTTAGGAGTAGAGAATTATACTGCAGTAGGCTTGGGGGCGAGGGGCAGGTGAGTAAGGAGGGCAGGGGGTTTGCTCCACATCTCTTGCTCGGAGGCTCAGCGGTAGAGAATCCGTCTGCAGTGCAGGAGATGGAGGAGACGCGGGTTCAATCCCTGAGTTGGGAAGATGCCCTGGAGAAGGGCATGGCAATCCTCTCCAGTATTCTTGCCTGGACAATCCCATGGACAGAGGAGCCTGGCAGGCTGCCGTCCATGGGGGTTGCAAAGAGTCAGACATGACTGAGCACAGACACATACTCTGAATCAGAGGGCTGGCCTGCAGGCCAAGAGAGGCTTCTGGAGCAGACCATGGAAGGAAACACGGACCAAGTTCGCGGAAAAGGCTGGCCCCTGTTTGCTCCCTGGTCCCCGGTCAAGGTGAGCCACTTCTCCAAAGAAGTGGAGAGCGGGGAGTTTAACATCAGTGCCCCCGTTATTGTCCTTTATCTTTAAAAAACTACCAAAGCATGCATTCTTTCGACAGGAAGTTATCAAGGTCTTCTTTGCTTAAGAACAGGTGAAGGAAGAGATCTATTTCGGCAGCTGTGACCATCCTAAGATAGGCCCTGAGCAGCAGTTGAAGAAAATCCAGACAGGAAGCTGGGATTAGCACCCTGGAGTTGCCCATCCCCCACCTTCCACTTCTCTTCTGTTCTCCTTCCCAGCAGTCCTGGCGTCTAGAACCAGAAAGGCCATTCGTACCTCCTCATCTGTAAGGCTTCGTCCCTGTCTCTGGGAGATGGGGTACTGTGGGCAGTGTGTTAGCTGATCCCAGGGGTCTTGTGGCTTCAACAGCCATGACCAAGCTGAGATGGGGCACTGTGGTCCCAGGCCCCCCCTCATTCCAGGTGGGAAGAGGGAACCAAGCCTTGTGCCCAGGAGGTGCCTGCGTGTGTTGCTTCTGAGCACTCTAGGCACAGTGGTGTATCCTTGCTGGTTCCAGCATTGTTGGGAAGTGAAAAAGGAGGGCACAGTGTAACCTGTGCAAAGCCTCCTATGAATGAACCATATGAGAAAGGATCATGAAAAAGAGAGGACTCAGTCGCTGAAGGATGGAGTTTTGAAGGAAGTGGAGACCCTTAGAATGAGGCCAGTGGATGGGACAGGGCAGCCCAGGCTGGAGACACAGCCAGAGCAAAGGCATGGATGCAGGAAGAGACAGGACCTGGAAAGATCCAGTGGCTCAAAGTGCCTGGCGGGGCGAGGGGAGCTGGGCGGAGGGACATTCCAGGCAGACCCAGGTCAGACTCCATGGCCAAGTTATAGAAGTGAGGCTTTGCCATATGGGTAATGGGAAATTCTTGGTGGGTTTTGCAGGAGCGAAATAAGCAGATGACGTGTCAACAGCTATGTTTTAGGAAGATTTATCTTGTTTGTCTTATCTTTGTTTACGTCAGCCAGAATTAGAAAGAATAGATGTCTGATGGGATGTGTCTTCCCAGTGGAATACTTGTTCCACCACTGACAATTTTGGTACAAAATATATCTGATATGGAACAATGTCCAGCAGAGTCGAGCAAGGCAATCAGAAAGCAGAGTAAGATCTTATTTTTGTTTGAAAAATTATATATATGTATAAATGTGCATGTGTGTGTGGAGAGAGAGAAGGAAAGAGGGAGAGAGAGGGGGGCAATTATAGAGAAGTTGTCAGGGTGGCCTACTCCTGCCAGTCTCCCCACTTTTCCACCCCCTCACAGTGCCTCCTGGGATCACCCTCTGAATGAATTACTTGCTCCCAAGTCCTTGTTTCAGGCTCTGCTTTGGGGAGAATTCAAACTAAGACACCAGTTTCCCACTTTTTCCATGTCCTCTGTCCAGGCTGCTGCTAAGTCTGGGGGAAATCTCTTCTAGTAGCTCTCTGATGAATTTGTGTCCCATGATGAGAAACACCAAAGTAGACATTGAAAAACATTCGTCTGGGAATATAAAGGTCCGTGGATTAAACTGAGGCAGAGCTGGAGACAGGGAGGCCAGCAAGGAGGCCACCTTCCTTCCCTGTAAAGGAAGCCCAGGGTGGGCTGGAGGCGGCTGTGGAAGAGAAGCAGGAAGAGTGATCATTTTGATACCTCACATGTAAGATTGTATGTTAACCTTATGTGAGACTGCTTATATTTTGGAAGACAGGGCTGAGATTCAAACAATCTGGTTCTGGTATCCAATTAGAGTTCATTGTCAAAGGAAACTGAAGCCCTTGCCCTTTGAATAATGGGAAAACCACGCATTTATCTGGCAGTGCTATTAGCAGTGCAACAATGGAGCTGACTTCCTAACTATTCACCCTGTCTACTATTATTTTGTCTGGGGTGTTAAACATTCCACATAGTCCCTTTCCTTTTCTTCTCAATGGGGACCCTTATTTACACCTTCAGTTTTGTGTTTTGTTTTTTTTTTCTTAAATGTCCCAAGACAACATGTACCAAAAGTCCTCCCCATTGCCTTGGTAAATCTATTCCTGGCAATAAGCTAGACATGGAGAAAAGATTCCTACTCAAATGTGTCCATTGCAGTGTTATTTTTAAGAGCTGAAAGTTGAATGTTACCCAATATCCAGTAATAGGGAAGTGGTTATGTAAATGGAGGCAATTCACTCCAAGGAAGTGTGTGCAGCCATTAAAAAGCATGGGATGGGAGCACGTGGCTCCCTCCTCTCTTCCTCAGATGGAAGTGGAGAGACAAGGGTCCTTTTAAGAATTCAAGTGGAGGGACTTTCCCTGGTGGTCCAGTTGTTAAGAATCCACTTGCCAATGCAGGGGACGTGGGCTCAATCCCTGTTCGGGGAACTAAGATCCAAGACGCCACTGAGCAACTGAGACCGTGCACCCTAACTACAGAGGCACACAGACAAATAATTCATTAATAATAATAAAAAGGAATTTAACTGGAAATGTCCGTGATGAGGAGGTGCCACACGGAGAGAGACTGACCTAGTGGCAGGCTCTTTTGGGAGGGCCCAGTTCCTAAAGAGGCACAAGTTGGAAGGAAGTAGACTATGACTGTTGAAGGAGAGGTGTTAAATACCGCTTTGCAGAATTACAAGACTAATGGATTTGTGGACAGAAGTCTTGACATTGTAACAGTAAAGAAATTCCATTTTTCCTCTTAGAGGCTCCAACTCTGTTATTTCTACAAATTGCGGTTATCCTTGTGAGATGTATGTATGTGTGTGTGTGCATGTGTATGTAGTGGGGGGTGGGGGGTGTAAGTTATCCAAAAGGCCCCTGATGGTACTTTGGGGACTTATAAACATGTAGATCAGGCTTCCCGGGTGGTGCTAGTGGTAAAGAGCCCACCTGCCAATGCAGGAGACATAAGAGACACGGGTTTGATCCCTGGATCAGGAAGATCCCCTGGAGGAGGACACAGCAACCCACTCCAGTATTCTTGCCTGGAGAATTCCCACGGACAGAGGAGCCTGGAGAACTATAGTCCACGGGGTCGCAGAGTCAGACATGACTGAAGCGACTTAACATGCACACAGCATGCACACATAGATCACACCGGTGGGATTGGGATGCTGTGTGCTGGGGACAGTTTAAAGGTTTCACCCCACCAGAACAGAGCTATGATATGGAGTCCAGAATCCTACCCTTCTGGGCTCCCTGGAATTGGGGTGCCCCCAACCATGGGGGAGCACTTGCCAAACTCCCAGGAAGTCACCCTTGACCGAATGATTCAGGGGAGAAATTGACTGCTCAGGCCAAGGGGTCAGAATTGGGACAGGATGTGCCGGGGCCAATTCCTGTGGGTCAGGATGAGATTTTCTGAAAGGGGATTCTAGTGTGCAGAATTCTTTGGCTGTGGGCAGCTGGAATTCAACCTAAACCAGTTTAAATAAAAGGAACATTTTTGGGCTCTTGTGATACAGAAGGACAGTGATGGAGTTGGTTCATAGTGTAACTGACTCAGGTGTCTTCAGGTTCCTCTAATCCACCCTCTTTGTCCCCCTCTCTCTGCATGGTGTCCCCCCTTCCTATAAACAGACTCTTTCACTTCTGACAGACATACCCTGGGCACCTTCAGATGTGCTTCAGTTACTCTAGACAAACTTAGAGAATCCCACAGAGAGAGATATCTTTCTTTTGTATTGATACATATAAATCCTCAGGAAGGACTATCACTGGCTCTTGCTGTTGTTCAGTCACTCAGCTGTGTCCGACTTTTTGCGATCCCATGGACTGCAGCACTCCAGGCTTCCCTGTCCTTCACCATCTCCCAGAGCTTGCTCATCACCATTGAGTTGGTGATGCCATCCAACCATTTCGTCTTCTGTCATCTCCTTCTCCTCCTGCCCTCAACCTTTCTCAGCATCAGGATCTTTTCTAATGAGTCAGCTCTTCATATCAGGTGGCCAAAGTACTGGAGCTTCAGCTTCAGCATCAGTCTTTCCAATGAATATTCAGGGTTGATTTCCTTTAGGATTGACTGGTTTGATCTCCTTGCAGTCCAAAGGACTGTCAAGAGTCTTTTCCAACACCACAGCTCGAAAGCATCAATTCTTGGGTGCTCAGCCTTCTTTATGGTCCAACTCACACATCCCTACATGACTACTGGAAAAATCATAACTTTGACTATACAGACCTTTGATTGAGTCACATATCCATCTTTTGGACCAACCACTGTGGCCAAGAGCATTGGCCAGATCTAGGTGACAATGTCCATCTCAGTGGCCAGGGCAAGGTGGCTGTCCTGTAATCAGCAGCTTGGCCAGAATCACATATTTGGAGTAGGGGAAGAGCAGTTCCCCAAAGAAAGGAAGAATACTGTTATCAATAGAGAAGTATGCATTCCCCTCGGGAACACACAGCTTTTGTTTTCCCATGAGCCCCATCCCTAATCCAAATGGCACCTTGGGCAAATCAGAAAAATTAGCCCCTTCCTTGAGATATTTTGCCACCATCTGCTAGAAAACTATCATCTTAAATACACTAATCTATAATGACTATAGATGTGATTGGTTACCAGAATTGTGCAGTGCACAACCCATACAACTGAATGCATACAACCCTGCCGCCTTATGTACTATAATTCCCTTCAATAACTTCAATTCCTCATTAAAGAAAGTCTGACTCCATAGAGCTTTGGGCAGTGGCAAGGCAGAGACCTAAAGGGCAGAGCCATAATTGGGAATGACAGCTGCCTCCCACCACCTCCCCTCCAGTGCCCACAGAGAGGGAGCAGTGTGCTATCAAGGAACACTGACCGGGAATTCCAGACGGTGGCCAGCAGCAAAGCAAACTGGAGCTGCATCAGGACTGGGAGTGACAAGAGGGACCCCAGAGGAGCAGTTTCAGGGAGACAACTTGCGAAGGGATGTAAGATAAAATCTCATGTTTTCTCTGAATGCCAGAAGAAGCAAAGAAGAAGTCGGACCAGCAGATGATGGACTACATTAGCAATACAGCTGTTGGTCCTTTAATGGACCGGAACCTGGTGGTCCGAGTCGACGACGAGACAGTGAAAGAAGTAGAGAGGCTAATGCTCCCTGGGTTACGCAGCTGGCTTCCGCACTCCAGGGAATCAGCCAGAAATAGAGAGAGAGAGAAAAGAAAGAAAGACATGGGGACCAAAGCTCTGATGGAGCAAAGGTGTTTTAATCAACATGGTGTGGGCATATATACTGTCTTACAAGGTAGTTATTCTCAGCAAAGATAAAGATTAAAATTCCAGGCTTACAAAACATAAGACGATCCCTATCAAAGAGAAAGTTGCAAACAATCACCTTTTACTGTATGGTTCATAAGAAGGAAGAGGGTACTTATCATCGTAATGAGAAATGCCTGGATTCCTCAGCCCTGGGAAAGGCGTGCCACTCCTCTTAAATCCCGAATATTCAGGAATTAATAAGGGCCAGAGCGTTCCTGACAGATCCAAAACAGCACACAGGAAACCTCTTGTTAAATGCTTCCTGACAACAACCACATGGAAAATGGTTGTCAGGTCAGTGAGCAAAGCAGGATAAAGAACCTTACAGCAAAAACACCAAGGCTTCCACCTTGGTCTAAAGACGCGCCTCTGAGGGTGTCAGTGACTCACTGGGAGGAGCTGTTCGAAGTCTGGGCAGAGCAGGAACTTCTCAGACCACAGCCAGGCCTGGCCCCAGGGAGGGGCTGGACTGTGCTGAAGCTGGAACCACAGAGGGCCCCTGGGAGGAGCAGCGCCATGGGGCCAGCTCCCAGGACGGAGGGTGACCGCTCCCCGGGCTTCCCTATGCCCCTTGCAAAGGTCACTCTGGCCTGGGCTCAGCTCAGACAGAGCTCTGGCTGCCAGAAAAGTCAGTGGCAGTGAGGGGTGTAGGAGACTGGGGGACGTTTTGGGGAACAGTTACTCTGGATTCACTCAGAGATTCTCTTGTTTGCCCCAGGGCAGGAGCTGATGAGCAACAAGCCGTGGGTCATTTCTCAACACCTCCACTAGAGGTCACCACAGCCCCAGAGTGGAACTTGGGGAGGGGGGCTAGACTAACCTCGTCCCTCCCCTCACCCCACCCCCTCCCCAACTTCTGAGGGACAGATGTCTAGTCAGTGGGGTGGCGGAGTGTTGGTAGAGGAATGACCCTCAAGACCACTGTGTGGTCCTGCTAAACAGCTGTGTTTGGGGGAGGAGTTCATGGGTGTGAGATGTGGGTGTGGGTAATACAGACAGACATACGCTTGATAAAAACCTAGTGATCAGGGACTTGCCTGCTGGTCCACTGGCAAAATACTCCGCACGTTGGGAAATGCAAGGGGCCCAGTTTCAATCCCAGTTTCAATGCAAGGGGCAGGGAAGCTAGATCCCACATGCCACAGCTAAGATCTTGTGCAATCAAATAAATAAAATCAATATTTAAAAAAAAATATAATGACCATAGG